TTATCTTTGCAAGACTTTCCGAATTCGGTGAAAACCATCGGTTTTCTCAGGAGGGTCTTGGAGTCTCGCCAGTGGCTCGTCATCCATCTTCTCATGAATACCATCTGGGTATCATCGTCTTGTGACGATAGCCTTGTAGTGGAGGAAATTAAGTTAGCCTAAGTCAAACGGTTTCCATAACAATAATAATAATAAGATGATGATGATGATGAAGAGATTAGATTAGTAAAACAATATGTTAATTACCAGGCATCAGGATATGCATGGATAGTTGTGAAATCAATCTCTTCTATAAGATTAGTAGTGATAAAATCTGTGCCGACTTGATAGCCCGGATTGTACTGCTTTCTGTCGGGAAACGAGTCTCCATAGAAACCTTCCATGCCAACTTCTAGAAGGTGCTTACTGTCAATGGATTTGACGTGTGAGGCCATTTCTTGTACCCAAGCCTGTCATATGGATTAATGCATTAGTATCAGTCTGAATGTTAGTGCACAGAGCATTATGGCTCGATTTTTTTTTTTGGCTCACATTTACGGTGTCTCCAGAGTAGTCGGCCTGGCAACGAGGCTCGTTAATGAGTTCCCAGGCCATGATGGTTGGATCATCTTTATACGCAACTCCAGTAATCGCGTTGATTCTGTTAAGTACTCTCTGTTCATGCACGGTCAAAATACGGGTAAGTCACTAGCCAATATCTTCAAAAATGATCAAACCAAAAAACTTATCGACATTATTTAGTTAATCTACCTGAACATGTCTTTTGTAGTATTCTTTTACAACCTCGTTGGTATAGAAATCGTCGTCACTTTTCGTTTGGGCTCCAGCATTTTTCGCCCAGCTCACGTACTGAGGTCTCCCTCCAAAATCTTGGTAATTGTTGCTCAAACTTAAAATCAAGCGCACTTTGTACTTGGCAGCTTCTGAAACTACAAAATCAAGTGCCTGCATATGCAACAATCCAAGCACAACTTGTTCTTAGTTGTGTAATCTTGTTTGTGTATAAATTGTATATAATGATGATATGACATGAATAATTCTTTTACTTCTATTATAATTACCTGAAACACATATTCATTGTAAACTCCGGGCGATATCTGAAGAGCTTGATCTCCTCCATCACTGAAAGCCCATGTTCGGCACACAGTGAGACCAGCATTTGCAGCCTCTTGGAATACATTCGACACTTTCTCCCTTTGGTTTGGTTGTGATGACACGTGCATCATCCAATAAGCGTTGAACCCATTGAATATAAAAGGGGAGTCGTCTAACACAAACTGTGTCCCCTTCGTCTGAACAAATCCTGCATAGGCCACCAAACTCATTCTCGGCTCAAACACTAGAAAGAGCAAACAGAGTAGTAGACCAACTCTTCTCAAGGAATTAGCCATATTCATCGATCGATGAGTGTTATGGAGACATCCACGAGTGTTATTTATAGCTTAATCTTTTGAAGGAAAGTTAAGCTTAAGGCAATTTTTTTTTCTTTGCTGGAAACATGGAAGCAATTGAGCAGAATTTCATGTGATCTGGAAATGAGAATTACATGTGGGATTGTCTAGTGTATATCAAATTGGTGTGAATAAAGAAATATTTAACTGTGGATTGATTATGTGTTCATTAGTATAAAGAAAACTGGTATGTGAAGAAAGATGATATGTGAGAGGATGCAAATATGAGAAATTTAAGGATCTAACAAAAAATCTTAAAATGTGCATGAAAAAAGACACATCTATTAATATATAATAAGGATTAACATAATTCACTTTTAGAAATACTTTCCCGCCAATTTCATTAATTATTGCCTAAAAATAGTAAATTAAAAAAAATCTCTATTTATTAGCATATATTTTTTTATCCAATTTTTTTTAGGAATACAATAAAAAATTTAGAAGCAAAATCAAAATAAATCTAGAAAATACACTTACCATACTTAATACACTTAATTTAAGAAATACACTTACCATATGTATTTAAAAAAATAAAATACAATATAAGATATTTAATTAATAATTGCCAATTAAAGATTCTTTTTAAGAATCAATCATGCATATTTTTAATAATTGTTAGAAATAACTAATATATATATATATATATATATATATATATATATATATATTAAAAGCCATCATATTTACTAAATTTAGTAACAATAAAAGTCAAAGGATAATTAATGCATTCTATTTTATCATTTTTTCAATTGCATTATTATTTTCTAGCTAAAAAATTGGTTTGCATTAATTTCATCCTTAATTGAAATGTTTTGCAATAAAATCGGACAAATAGACTTCAAGTAAAATATGTCTCATTTCAAATTTAAATTTAAATATTAAAATTTCT